TTAGGACTGGGGCCTAGATACTTCTTCAATCATTATCCGAGATACTGAATTCCACCCAGTGTTAGCATTACCCAGGGTTTCGCTGCTACACTTCCCTACCCATAATTCCACTCTAACAGCGCCTAGTGGGATGTTTTCACAGTACCCCTCAAATGACCGATGATGCAGCAGATTAGGGTTCCCAGATGGCCAGTAGTTGAAAACAACAGCCTCAATCGTCATTGGTCCACTGCATTCATTTCCATTGAACTTGAAATACCAGCGATTACACTTAGAACTAGTACCTGCGACCCTCATGCTTCCCTGGAATGAGACTCTGAGCGCTGAATTAGACTGCAGTTTGTTAAACGCACAGTCCTGGAATAAAAATCAAACAAATCAAACATATTGTAGTAAGGCGAGCAACCGTGTGTAATGATTGATACTAACAACTCCAATCAAGATTACCTCCTAATTTTTAAAAACTCTGTAATAGCTTCAATTTTCGTTGTCCTTCTCCATATGGCCGGGAATCATTTTATCACCCAAGATCGCTTTTTTTTTTTTTCGTTCAAAAAGAACCAAAGTAGAGAGAAATGTAACTTATAGAGGATATTACATGGCCGCGCGGAGATACGAAATTTCTCTTCGAGTGTTGCTTTATGACCTCTAAATATAAGACTTAGTGCGGCAAAAACAAGATTTACTCAGTCAAACAGTTTAGAATGCTACACGTCTTGCACTGTGTAATGCTAGTAACCTTCGCGCGAGAGAAAAACCACTGTTCAAGCAGCCTCTCGAGGTCACGTTTCACATTATCACGAGCTTATGAGTCGTGTTTGGCCTGTCAAAGCTTATTTCTTACTGTGATATTTTTAGACAGTGCTCCGTCATAACTCGTGGGAAGAAATCTCACTCGGGCTACTGATTTTGCCAGAGAAAGTTACGAGAAAATATCTCGAATCTCCTGAGAAAGACACTTACACGCACTACGACATGTCAGTGACCTGGTATCACTGCAACCTAGTCAGATACTATCATACCGGTTCAGCCCAAAAAAGCATTTTTGACCTTGAAGGAAACACAACAGAACGCGGATCAAGGATACACCTAGGCTATTGGTTACTTTTGCAGCCAATGGCAAGTTAGTATTTTCGATCCTAGCCGCCAGTATTTGAACAGTCTGCTTCGCTCTCTGTACCTAAGACTTTACCATAGTAGCAACTGACGAGGAACGCTATAGTTCCGAAACTGCAGTCTTACTTAAGAGTTCATAGCAGTCGCACAGACGACTGTTAAGCAAAAACTTAAGTAAATACCTACGAAGGAACAACACGACATCGCGCTCTAGTTCAAAGACTCACTTATGTTAAGAAAAACTAAATGGACTGTGTGAGCGCTAAGAGAATTATCTTGACTGACGCACGGTACATTTCTCCAAACTTGGTGTAGCTTTAGTTTTTAAGCTACAGTGTACAACTCAAATCTGAAGATCGCACTATCCGTGGAAATTCAAATTCCTGCAAACCACACTATACTATAGAACTGGGCCCAGAGTTATACTGACATGGCAGATAATCACATTCACGGACAAAGAAACTTGCATGCATGCATGTATTTATTCAGATACAGTCATTTCGGAGAAAACCAAAAAAACTAAAATCTTTATTTAGCCGTAATAAACAGAGGTCAAAGGATATAAAACACTTAACAACTGCATCTGAAATCAAATCCTGTCAGGGACACCTAGTACAGAAGCATAAACCACAGGAAATGATAACTCAGTATGCATGTAACAAACTTGCTTCATGACCTCTAAATATAAGACTTAGTGCGGCAAAAACAAGATTTACTCAGTCAAAGTTTAGAATGC